CAGACAGTCAGAATCAATGTTAATTATCTTTCCAAGATATCGTTTAATTTTTTTTCTTGGATACAAGCAAAGAGAAGCAATGTGGCAATTATACAATTTTGGCATTGTCTCGATATAGGAGAGAGGATTGTTATCATTTACTTTGCCAACAGACGCTAAGACGTCGAATAGCAATGTGGCAATTGTAAACTTTTGGCAATCTCCAGAAAATAGTGGAGAATTGAGATTTGAGGAGATAAAAGAATTTAATTCCTTAACAAGTCAAGGATTCCATGATAAGGCTAACTTGGCGTAGAGAACTAGATGGCAAACTTTGACAGTGATTAATGAGACGGTAAGAGTGCTGGACGTTTAAACAAGCCCAAAAAGTTCAAAATTATTTTTTAAAATACTGAGTGCCTATGAATTTTAGTAAGCTTTTCCATTTACTTTTGGGTGGCCCAGGAAAAAGAGAACATGTGATAAAAAATTTAATTGGCAAGGAGAATTTTGTAACCAAAAATTCTAGATTATAACTTATCCACACCCGCACTGCCGAAAGATTATTGGTCGTATGGTAGCATGGTGATAGGCGGAGATGAATGGATGTGAAAAGCGGAGATGATGTTAACGCCCACTGAAGGGATTGGTATGAGATATCAATGTGAGAGAGAAAGAGTCTAGGAGGATAGCTCTCCTCCGACCTTCCCTCACGAACGACGGAGAACCCCCACCCCTGCCCAAATTCTGAAGTGGTTAGTTTTCCAAAAACGGGAAATGATCAATTTTCCTGTCCTGAGAACAAAGAGATTCCTTGTTAGAAATAGAGATTACAGAGAAACCCAGTCCGCATCGGGCCCACACAACGGGTTTTGGTCGGTACCCGTTGACGGGTCATTCCTCAGACAGTTGAGTTGCAGAGTTGGAGTTGAGTTGAGCTGGTTTTGAACCAGGGTGTTGCCTCCCAGAAGCTGACCGAGAGATTCCATGACCTCCGACTTCGCCGATGCTACCGATAGCAAGTTATACTGACGAACAAAGTTAAGCCATCACTTAAAAACTAAATTAGTTGACTTACGATATCAACTTGTTTGAAACATAGAAGTGACACACTTCATAGGAAACGGGCTGGGAGAAAAACACGCTCCTGTATACAACGGAAGGATAAAGTTGAATTGTTATTTCTTAAACAGACTTGGTCCTCTTGGGTTTTTCTTTCATTTATATTTTCTTTGCGCTTGTGCGGTGCCACCTTCAATCTGGACTCAGCTTGCTCTACGACTCGACGCCTGATTGATCTCGTCTACCTAAAATCAAACTCACTACATGGGTACGTTAGACTTGAGATCGAAACAGTTACTCCAGTGGCCAGACGTTGCAAGTGAGCTGGGAACGATAGAGTTGGCATTGAACCGGTACAGCTGGTGAAGCCGTTAACATCGGCACATATTAGTGCCTTGACCACTGGATTCGACTCTGAACGGCTGAGTGTCACATAATGGTATCCTGACCAAGGGATTTCGCCGAGTAGCGACGACAACCGAACGACCGGGACACAGGCTGGTGGCAGCAACAAAGCGTCAACCCCAAAACGCCGGTAGAAGAAACATTACAGTTTCGCGCCGCGACTGGGGGTCGACAACGGGCAGACGGCTTGGTGTCACAATTAACATAAAATTAAAAAAATATCTTCAAGAATGATTTCTCAATTTAAAAATGCATTGTAAACCTCAAGTATCACTTTTTAGGTAAGTCTCCCCTCTCTCTCTCTCTCTCTCTCTATATATATATATATATATATATATATATATAACTTTAAAATCAGGAGGTCAATTAAAATACGCGAACATGGTTTCGACCTGACGGTATCTTCAGGTGATACCATTAAAATGACTACTTTAACGCTTTATTTAAAAAAAAAACACACACACACACAAAGAACGCTACGCAATTATCTTTTAAAAATAGGCTCAAGGATGCTAGATGGTGAAACCTAGTTGGTAACCTCACTACTTGGAAACAGTGCGGTTATTCTTCTATATATTTATGTAAGGTTAAATTTTGTCTGTGTGTCACCAACGTAGAACAAAAGAAACTGAAGCGTTACATGATTATCAGCGTTTTTCTCTATATAATACGTATCACCAAGTTCTAAAATAAACGGACAAAATTTCATTTCAAATAATTTAAGCGCCTTCTTTAAAATTAGATTTGAGTTTTATTTGAAACCTAATAGCTAAAACTAATCAGTAAGGAATAAAAATAACTTTACGTATTTAAATACAGATTTTTAAAAATTAGTTTAACAATATTTCAATAATACTTTAAGTTTTTCTCATTGCATTTATTTAGTCAGCAGCGTGGGCGCCAATCTGCTTTGTATTCTCGGCCCTCACGAAGAGCAGAAAATGTCTTAAGCTGATGACCGATTAGTTTCTTCACACAACACGCTTGGTCGAGTTTTTCTAACTGTCTCTTCTACTGCTGTCTGTCGGCTGTCGCTTTATATACAATTAAGAATGACTCCAAATTGTACTACAAGATGGGAAAATTGATAAAGATTTATTATATATATATAACGTTTATGGTAAATGTAATTTGGTAGAATCTATTTATGTAATGAATTAAGTATGGGTCTGAACTTGTTGATGAAAAATATTTCCTTATTAATCCGTCTTTGTTCAGTGGTTCTGTAGTCGCACTGGTAGAATGCAAGCTCTACGATTAAGCTTTTTATATAATTTTTCTTGTGTAAATATTTGTACCTATAAAAGAAAGCATAAACATAAAAATGTCTTAAAATAATTGTCGGACTTTGTCCATTTCATATATATATATATATATATATATATATATATATATATATATATATATATATATATAGGAGAGAGAGCGAGAGAGACAGGACATAAAGATATGCAGTACAAAGTCACTGTCAGTTTCTGGTCGGAAGAACACGCTGAGCTGTGAAACAGTCAGCATGCAATGTTACTATCGGTGCCCCAACTTGTCGATAAGTGCTGCATCTTTGATATTGAGCACATTCCTCTTTGAATAATGCAAATTCTAAACAATAAATACGATTACATGTATAAGATGTATTTCGGCAGCAATAATTCTTTCAATCATGCTTGATTGAATAATAAAATTCTGTCTACCATATTTTATTACGCACACACACACTCACATATACATATATACATGTGTGTGTATGTGAGTGTATGTGTGTGTGCGTATGTATGTGTATAAATACGTGTAGATGTTGAAAATTTATTGAGCCGATTCAATTTTCAAAATCAAAATTTCAGTAGCCAAGCATTAGAATAGAGGAGAAAAACCTGTACCATCAAATGTCTATACTATTTACATTTATTCACCCTACATTTCATCACAGCACATGGTTACTTAAGTGTCCCCAATATTGATTTTGGGAAGTGAATCGGGCTGAAAACCTTTCAACGCCTCCCTCGTATAGATCGTTATAAAACTAGAGTAATAAAAAGATGGTGAAAAAAGACAGTGTATTTGACTTGAGGGGAAAATACACTCTTCTTTTTCTTGGAAAAATGTGGAAATAAAAATAATGTATTTGCCTTGCAGGAAACACACATATGTTAATTTAAGAAAGTGTATCAGTAGTTGTTGAAATTTCAATAGTTTAGCCTACTAAATTGAGAGAGTAAATCTTACAGAAGATTTTCAAAAAAAAATTCGCGTGAAACTGATTTTTGTGTTCAGTTGTCAAAATAATCTTGAATGTAAGCCACACATTCTTAGATTCTTTGTACTTTTTTATTTTAGTTACAAATAGAAACAGCTATGTACAGTTTATCACATATCTTCGGGCCGAAAAGATATGCTGGACATTTTATTGTGGAAATCTCTTGATTGGAAATACGAAGAAAGAACGAAAACTGCAAAAGAGGATTGGCACGTGAGCAATTTTGATTAATTTCTAACTTGTATAAGTTTCGTTTTAATTTTAGTTACTTTTTATCTCAGCAACGTTTCATACCGTTTTAGATTTGCAAAGAGAAGTATTCGCTCAGCGTCAGATAAACTATCACGATGGAGTTGGTTTCTCGAAGCAAAATGGATGAGATTTCGAATCTTGACTAGAGTTTAGTCGTTATTTACGTTTTGTGCTATTTACAGACTGCTTGAATGTCTGCAATGAAATAGAACTGAAATCTCTATCTATAAAAGTCAGGATGTGTGTGTGTGTGTGTGTGTGTGTGTGTGTGTGTGTGTGTGTGTGTGTGTGTGTAACGAATGCACGGCCGCAATTTTCAACGGATTTGGACCAAAATTTACATGCACATGCTCCAAGTTAGCGGGAAGGCCAAGACCGACATTACATTTCCCAACTCCCATCGATAGTGGAAATAATCGATTGTTTCATGCTTCTACGGTGGTTTTCATGTAGTTTGCGGCCATTTTGTACTGGCCAGAGTGAGAGCCAACAGCTGACTGACACGAATGTTAACTAGCATGCTAGCAGTCAAAAAAAAAAAAATCCATAGCTGCATTCGTCACAAGTGGGAAAAATTTAAATCTGCATGGCACTTTACTCCAATTGGCTCATTCGCTTGCTTAAACTCAACGTTGATTCTGATTTCGCAGAACTGGGTTGGGTGTGAAAAAGTATTTGTTGTTAACATTCTTTTTTTCATTCGGTTTTTCCAGTTACGAGTCCTTTATTATGCTGATCGTTTTGTGTTCATTTTCTTTAGTTCTTTTTTCGTAACAGATTTAATGTTCAGTATAAAGCTTAGAAAAAATTCGCAGTGTGAGATAGGCAAGAAGTAAGGCATGTAGCAACATCAGCACCGCAAAGGGCACTCCTTTAAAGGCAAGGAAGAGCAAAAATATTTTAAGTCAAGTGATAGCGATTGTTGTATGAGTCGTACGATTTTTGAATCAAGTACGGGCAACCCCGAGCAATACTGCTAGTTAGAAATAAACTAATTACAAGTCAAATATTAATAAATGGCTGACAACGCTTTATTTAATTCTTCTTCTGCTTTGAAACAACGGTTTCCGTAGGATCACCGAAGTTAAGCAACGTTGAACCTGGTCAGTATATAGATGGGTGACAGCTTGGGAATATCAGGTGATGTAAGCATTGTTGTGCGAGTAGTTTAATGGATAATAACTCGGAATTTTTTAATCGGAGAGCCGACTTCCAATTCGCGTTGTGTTCGTTAAATTCAGTTACGCTCAAATGCCCTTGGAAAAGGTATGAATCCACATCTTCTTCCCCAGCTATGGATTAATTAGTAAAACGTATCACTAAACTATTATTATTTAAAAAAATAGAATTCTTACAATCTGAATATATTTTCTCGTTTAAAATAACTTATAAATGTTTGATAAGCCGTAGAAAAGGAACAGATCAATATTTTACGTGGGCAATCATGGCTCTCCATGAATTGCTATACTTTTTAGCACTGAGCAATGTTTGACCTCTTCATATCTTTCTCATCCTCTGTTCTATCGTTTGTAACTCTTTAAAAGCGTTTGCATTTTTACTGTGCCGCCCTTTTTACACAAGCACGTGGTGTTACACTCTTTGTCTATTTTGCCTTCAATATATCCTGTAAGTGTCAAATTCTCCAATCCCACTTTTCTCATTATGTGTCTCAGAAATTTCAGCTGTCTGTTTTTGTTCCTTGACAAAAATATCCTTTTCTTTCCCATTTTTCTTAAAACTTCCTGGTTGCTCACGTGTTTCATTCACTATATTCTCAGCATCCTTCTGTAGAACCATATATCTACTGGCCCAAATCTACTTTTCATTTGTGAGGGAATTGTCTAGCATTCACTACCATATACATTACGAAAGGGTTTAGAACCACATTTCTTTTAACTCAGGTTTTATTCTGCATCTGTGAGGATATTGTCCCGCATTCACTGTCATATAGGAGGCCCCTTAATAGATTAATAACCAGTATTCTTTTCTTTGTTTCTAACAAAATTTCCTGTTTCTTAATACTGCTCTTAGATTCTAGAAGGCATTTTTCGCAATTACTATGCATTTTCTGGTTTTTGTATCACATCTTCTGTTGACTGTTTAAATTCAAGGATTCAGGGACAAGCCTCGCGAAACGGAGTGGCTCTTGCAGTGTGTCTCACTGGCGATGGTTCGAGGTAATGCTTTCTCCATCATTGCGGCTGGCAGAGGATAGAAAAAATGTTTATAGTTACTTTGTTCAAACATTTTTTTCAGTAAATGACGTCAACAAACCAAAAATCACAAAAGCATTGTGCAGTTTGACGTCATTACATGCAAATATAAGCTTTGATCACCACTTGTGTTTGCATCGATCTGGACAATGTTGTAAAAGTGTTCAATTTATAGATTTCGTTATTAAACTCTGGCCATGTTTAGGTCCCGTGTTTGTTTTTGAATAAAATGCCTATTCATCAGTAAAAAAAAAAACTCTCATGATTTGAATTTTGTTTTTTGAAGTGGGAGATGACAAAATAAGTGACGTTGGAGTCCGAATATTTTCTACAAACAAAATAAATTACATCAGAACGCAAGATAATGACGTAAGAATAGTTAGCAATCGTAAATACATAAAATATAAAAAAACAAAATCAATTCAGGTAGAAGACAAATCCACTTTACATAAAATACAGCTGCAGCTTGTATCGTTAAATCTATTTTCAAGTAGCTGCAAAAGAATAAAATAATTATCTTGTTTAATGAAGATGCAGCTGAGAGAATATTTAGTTTTGCAGCAGACTAAAACCTGATTTCAACCACAACTCTTCCGAGGAAAAAAATTCATTAAAATCAACGTTCAAAATCCAGAATTTGATCTCGACTCAAATATACGCGTTTTGAAAATACACGTTTACCTAAACAAGCCAGCAATGTTAAGCGTGTGAAAAAGTTCGCAGCGGAAAACTAGTGTTCACCAAACTAAAAAAAGCCGTAAGAGACAACTTTACACCGCCATTTGAACACCCCCGACTGAGCGCGGGCTTATAACTCCGGACTAAGACAGCACAGAACCAGAAAAACATTACTTTTTTTTTATAACCGAATAAAAGTAATTAAGGATTAAAACCTTAATTAGTGAATATTTTTCTTCATTTGAGGCATTTGAAGAGGCATTATGTAAAATATTGATATGTCCCGGAAAGGGATATATTTGAACGAAGTAGCTAAGTTGTTTTGGCTACTATAACCAAGTAAAATATGGTAGCAGTAATCGATTGGTACGCGTCGTAGTCGCAGGTAAGTGTAGATCAATGGCGTAGTCCAATGGGCGTCGTTATTGACTTAGCTCTCCGACTAAGGCTCTTGACTCTCCTACACGTTTGTTGGTATTTATGACGGACACTAGCCAATCATATTCCAGTGAGGGGGAACACAGGTGTACGCATATTCCATTATATCAAATATGTATCAGTTTTTTTTTTGTTTTGAATTCTTTTAACCGAGCAACACAGAGGTGCCTCATTGGAATAGGCTTCATGATACGAAATACTATAGCTATTTTCCCCGGCGTAGCAACTAGTTACTTCGAGGTATGATAGTCTAATGATAACGAATATTTCTTTGAGTTCTGTACAGAGTAAGAACTATGCATTAATACCAGTAGAATATGCCAGAATATATTATACGAGTAGAAAGATAGGCTAATGACCTCACAAATACATCTTTGCTCAAAATATGCGAAACAAACGAACCTAAAAGATGTCCACCAAACTTAAGTCGATACAACTTTGCGCACTGTCACACAGATGAATTCTGATGCTGACACGGCATCTATTTCAAGTCAAAGCTAAGGACTGAGTGTTGTCCATAGAGACGACCCCCTTTACAGGTCCAACAAAGTATCATAGCTGCTTAGCATCAATTAGGACAACTATCTCGCAGATTCAAACCACCCAGAACTATTGCGGAGAAAAAGATACATCTCCCTAACAGCAAAGCCAACCTTGACTACCAGGTGTTCATCATCAGTCGACGTGGAAAAGCCGGCTTCTCACGTCTGGGCCTCGCTTAACATATAAGAACTTTCGTTAGTGGAACCAAGTAAAACCAAATAATATATATAAGGTCGCCACCCTGTGCGTTTTATATAAATACTTTCATGGTAATTGTTCAGATGAGATCTTCGCTATGATACCTAGAGTTTATGAATTTAAGAGCAGTAGTAGAAAGTCTCATCAATTTACACTTGAACTGACTAGATGTAACAGTAATTTTTAAGCTAACATTTTCTTTTTTCGAACTCCCTTCCAGCTCTATGCTTCCCAGCCAACTTTAATTTCCCAAAATTTAAACGCAATGTCAATCGCTATCTACTGATCTCCTGATTACTCTTTCCTCTTCCCTCTCATTATTAATGTTTCTGTTCCTATTTCTTCCACACCCATTTTGTGACTTAGTGGCTTTACTTACTTACTTGGGGTGAAATCGATTATGTATATTCAACTATGAATTGAGCTTCCCTGGCTACTGGCGTATTTCGTATAGAAAACGTTAAAATTTCCCTTTCACTTGTGCGACGATAGCCTTGACTGATGCCAAATTGTTCGGGTTTCAATCCCGGGTTGAAGCAATCGAATGTCTAGCCACACTGAGGAGCTACAATTTAAAAAATAGTGGCTCCTACTATCGGTCCATTGTCTGTGAATGAATATATATATATATATATATATATGTGTTGTGTATTTAGGCAGCAATCCTTCATTTATGCATGTTTCATTAAAAACGACAGACAAGGTACAGCGATTAAGTTTTTTTATTTCATTTTTCTTGTGTTCGAACAAGTGCTTTATTTTTGGGACACAGAGTGTGTAGAAATTGTTCAAATGTTCTATAGTTGCGAGCGCTTTCGGCTATACTTTTAGCCATTATCAAGGATGATTTCATTTTTCAGTTTAATTGAGTGTGTGCGTTTTGTGTATGTTTTTAGTGTTATAGAGATATTTCATTTTCCGAATACAACATATTGTGACCGTAGTTAATATTATTAAGTGTTGGCTTTTTCTTGTTTTGTTAAGGCTCCCATTATTTTTAAACTTTTTTTTACATGTGGATAAGGTTATTATGTTTATATTTTCGACTAGTATGTTTCGGATAGAGTCTGGTAAGTTTATGTGTATAGTTAAATGGGTTCTAATAGAGCTGTGTTCAGAGAGGTGTAACGTGAGACGTCTGGATAGGCATGTAGTCGTGTGACCAATGTAACTATTTACGAATTCAGTTTGATCCGGAACACAGTTCCTTAAGGGGCATTTGAGCTCATAGTTAATGTTCGTTCGTTGTAATTTTGATTTGCTGGTGTGTTGTTATTTTTAGGATAAGGTTAGCTGTTTTAAATTTTTTGTAGTAGACAATTGGTTTTTTATTCAGGTCAATAGGGGTATTTCTTTATAATATTTCTAAATGAAGATTCATCTTATTTGTAGTTAAAGTACATTTGGTTTTTGTAGAAAATATTTATGTAATTTTTGACTATATGTTCACTATCCTTGTTATTTACTTTGGGCAGAAATAGTCTAATTTGGTGGTCTATAAGGTGGATAGGGAAGCCATCGTTAATTAGTGTCTGTTTTACATTATTGACAGAAAGAGTAGTTGGGAAGATGAGTTCTGGTATGCTCTATTTAGGAAGTATTTTTATTACTACTATTTTGTATCTGAGTGTGTATTCACTTTTAAAGTTAAGGTACCAAGAGTTTCTGCTAGTGTTTTTTTTATATAATGTGGTGGTAAAAGTGTTGTTACTGTATTCTATGAGAACATCTAAGAATGGGAGTTTATTTTTTGCCAAAGTTCGTGGGTAAAGTTAAGGAGAGATTTTTTTTTCAAATGAGGTCTTAAGAGTATTTTTTCTTTAGTGTTCTTTGCTAAAATAAAAAAAATTATCTACGTAGCGGACATATTTTAGGTTTACAGACCTGTTTAAATATCGTATTTTCTACATGGGACATGTAATAATTGGAAAAGCATGGGCCGAGTGCATTTTCTATACTAATACCATTAGTAAAACGA